TACGTAAAAAGTAAACTTCAAAATGAGTTTCATATTCAAAGCTAATTTATTCTACTTTTGATCAAATTTAAGGATAAATTTGTTGAAAAATCAAAAAATGGTATTAAGAATGAATTTTAGAACAATTTTTGAAGATTTTCTTATCATAGGAAAAGCAGATTTTTTACCTTATATAGTGTATAGTTATAATCACCGAAAAATCATAAAATTGGTTTTCTCAAACAGGAAATTTTAAAAATAATTATATCTTGGGTCATCTTCAAGTAAAAATATTTTGAAGAAAAGAAATATGAAAATGTTTTAAATTATTGGAATTCATATCATTTTAAGAATATTTTTAGCTTTTGGGCATTAAACTAACATGTATATATAAAACCCAAGGCATTCAAATATATTCTAATGGTTTTTTTAGATGTATTATAGCTGCCCATCCAGATTTTATTTTTATTTTTTGAAAAGAAGCGGTCCGTAAAGAAGCAGATGCAACTATAACTTGCTTTGATTTTATAAATTCCAGAGCGAAGAATCTAAAACAAAAATTTCTATATATTTAAGAATGATATAATACAGGGAAAATAAAAAAAGAAAGAACTACGTTTCTTAAAGCGCACCCATTTTATGTTGAAACACTGATACAATGCTTGCATACAATACGGTATTCTTCTATTTAAATACATATTTTTTTATCCAAAATCGATATATATAATATTCTGAGCCGGCTAAATAGCCAAATGAAGTTTAGGTTTTTTTCGATAGATCCGAGATCGCTATATTTTTTTTGACATTTTCTGGTATTTCCTTTAAATTCTAATGTTTTTATTTATTTTCGATTATGATATTATAAATGATAGAGTATATCATCTAAAATCCAAATAATCTAACGAAATGTCTAAATACATTTATTTTCGAATTAAATTATGGATAAATCGTTTGTTTGACATTTTTTTTATAAATTTAAGGTATAGATATAAAATAGGTTTAAATAATTACTTCACAGCACTGTTTTACTTCAAGATTGCTTTTAGAATTATTCTTTTCTCCGATCCTTTCATAAAATATATTTTAATAATTTCGAAAATATTACTTTTCTTTTCTTAAAAAAATTGAAAAATTTAAAAAAATCATAAATATTCACGAAAAAAATACAAAAAAACATTATTTAATAGTTCTTGATTTTTTTAAAATCATAGTGTGAAGCTTATCATTTGCCTTTTTCAGCAATTCTTCTGGCACACTATGGAAATTAAAATCGTTGAAATAATCTATTAATTTTGCTTGGGTATTTACATTACTTTTCGTAAAGTAACTACACTCAGGGAAATACATGTCGACATTCTCAATTAGCAAACTCCTATATATACTTGAATTATTGTTGCTCAAGTATATAAACATTCTTCGGAGTTCTGTAAAAAGTTTTCTCTCGTCTTCTGTAAACGCAAACCTCATATAATACAAAAAGAATTCTATATTTTTACCATTTGGTTTCATAAACATTGCTTTGTGCAATGGATATGCTAGTTCTCTGTGAAATAGCCCATCATATACCTTGATAAGGCTAATTAGCAGATTTGCTATTTCCTCTATTTGATATATATCAACTCCGTATTGCTTTATAGTATCTATATATGAACGAATTCTATCCTTGTCAAGTAATTTTTCGCGATGAAAAAATATATAGGCAACAGTTGGCTCGCTGTTGACTATACGCTCGATTAATTCGAATATTATAGGTTCGAGCCTTTTAGATTTTGGAAATTTAATTTGTTGTTTTCCACAACACAGGTTTTTTGCCAAAAAACATTTTATTTTCTTATACCTTGTCTGTTGGTTTATTTTTTCCATCTTCGTGAGACAATAGTAATAGAGGAACTTTTTTTCATTTGCATTCAACTTCCAATATGGAATTGAGTTCTCCTCTTTTTGTGTCAAATTTGCCATGAGATATTTCATCTATTTTATGAGACTATTGCTCTATTTATGCTTTTTTTCAAAAACACTTTTTTTTCTATTTCGAAATGCTCCAATTCTAATAATTCTATTTTGAATTTCTGTTTTAATATACAGATAATGAGTTAAATAAAATCAATAATACTTTATTTTTCATAAAGTCTTTAAAAGTCTCGGTTTTAATGGTATTTCATCTCTATCAAACATAATATGTTTCATATATTATTTCTTTTTACAGGTCTTTCAATGTTTTCGCTTTGAAAAATGATTTTATAATTCACCAACAATTTATTTTAATCTCTAGATTTTCCCTCTATGTAATTTTTTCGATGTAAAATATTTATAATATCATATAAATAGGTTAAAAATTATGGGAAACGTATAAAATTAGAAATTTCTTGAGGATTCGAATAAAATCCGCATATATTTCTATCTATTTATTTTGGCTCGTGATATAAAATTTGTAACCTACTAGTTTTTTCGATTTATTTTAATAATTACACATATTTTTACTAAAATATTATTGATTGTTGATCTCAATGAAATAATCTAACCTCGAAATCTATTTTAAATTTCTAAATTAATTCTATAAACATTGAATTATTTGTATTTTAAAAATTTAGAACTGTAATATTTAGAGATTGTCATATTGTAACACTATATGATTGATTAAGAAAATACTTGAAATACTAAACAGTTAAAAAACTTTAAAATGTTGCACATAAATTACCTTTTCTCGAAATATAGTACAGGATTTGCAGATTATATCATTAAAATATTCTAAATGAAATGGATCTATAAATTGCAATTAGAGTTAATAAACAAAGAGTTTGATGTATATAACCGGTTTTTTTTCAAACAAAATATTTCCAATAAATATATAACATTTCTTTTTATAAAAAGGCATGTTTTACATCGTTTTCAGAGCATTTACGCGGTTCTGGTTTATGTAGATGACTGATATTACAATACACTACCCGTATCTCGATTTATAGCTAATATTAAATATTTTTATTTAAAAGAATTGCAACCCATCAAATGAGCGCATAATTTACTTAGAGTTGGGATTTTATTGTTCAGAGTGTATTCGCGGACATAAACCACGCTGACCTTCAAACCGTACAAAACCACTTATTATAAACCTTCCAAAGTGGATGTGCATCTGGATAATACATATCGAACTTATAAAGTATTTACATAGACGTATAAACAATAACGCACGTGTATAATTTGCTACTTTGCTATCCTTGGGTTTAAAACTCTATTTCTTCGCATCTTTCAGATGATAAGTCTTTTAATTCGAGGTCATGCTATGTTTTAATGTTTTAAAATGTAAATCGCCATCATAGGCGTTCGTGGTTTCCAATCTAGCTGTATAAAAAACTATAAGCCAATTTGAAGAAAACGGTTCACCGTTTTATAGACTCTCTCCTGCTATTAAAATCACTACGCCAATACCAAAATGTAATCTTGTTTGAACCAAACCAAAAAAACTACAAATATTTTACACACCAACTTTACTTAATCATTATCAAACTGATTTTCTAATTGTAATTATCAATCCTCCAACTCTAATTTTAAATAGTAAATTCTTCTTTATTATAAATATTTAAATTATTTTGCTTCATTACTTATTTTGTATTTATCGATAAAAAAATTTTATTCTACTTTGCTACTTTGTAAAAAAAACTTCAATTTTTATTTAAATAAACACAAAATTACAATAAGTTGTATAAAAGACACTGATCACACTTAATATATCTTACTTACTTCGACATTTTAAAAAATCAATATACATTTTAATACATCATATTACCTTTTACTAGATCCATCATCTATAAATACCAATCTTTTTATAAGTATAAAAAACCCGTAGTAAAATTATTTTAATAAAAAAACGGTAATAAATTTATCTGACCAGCAAATTAAATTCTAGAATTCTTAAAATTACTTTAAAAAAAATATTTTTATAATAAATTTATATCTGTTTTTTAACCAAAAATCAAAATTTGGATAGAAATAGTAAACAATAGATAAATTATAAATGCCTACAAAGTATAAACCTGAATACTAAAAATATTCAAATACTAATTATGATCTAACATTATTGTATAACCATTTAAAGAACATCAGTTACAAAAAAATTATCGAATACAGTAAAGAAATATTTTCAAGAATAAAATCTCTTTATTTCTTAAAATATTTTACTAAGAAATCACGAATCTCTTCCTTACTTCTACTCCCATCTACCTCAACAACCTTCCCTTTATTCCTATAATAGTCAACAACCTCCAAAGTACTTCTCTCATACAATTCCCATCTATTCTCAAATACAATATCACTATCATCACTTCTATTCTCATTTCTTTGAAACACACGCTTTTTACAAATATCTTTACTCACATTTAAAAATATCACTCCACTAATTTCAATCGTAACAAAAGGTATCTGATACAAATTACGAGGAAATCCATCCAAAATAATACCCTTACCTCCTTCAACCTCACCAATCCTACACATCACCATTTCTGCCATAAAAGTGTCACTAATAAATTCACCTTTTTGTATTTTTACAGATATCTGTCTACCAAATTCTGTGTCTAAAAAATTAGAAAAAAAAATTACCTTTTTTTATTTCGTCTCGTAATATATCTCCACTAGAAATATGATACAAGTTCAGATTTATAGATAAAAGTTTACTTTGTGTTCCTTTTCCACTACCAGGAGGCCCTATAATTATCAAATTCATGGTAAATTTTTTTTACTAATTTTTATTTTTTTTATAATTCTTAGAATAGATTATTGTTTTCATAGTTAATAAATTTTTATTTTTTTTACTAAATTTTATATTTTTTTAAAGATCCTTATAAGAGATTTTTACATTTTTTTTTACCAATTTCTATATTTTTTACTAATTTTACATTTTTTTTAATAAATTTTTATTTTTTTACAATCCTTATAAGAGATAATTACAAGCAGTTATAATTATATAAATTAAAACGAATATAAAAACATAGCATCATATTTTTGAATAAAAATACTCAATTTCTTAAGACATCTTGGCCGAGTGGTCTAAGGCGTTCGACTCAAAATCGAATCTACGGTAGTGGGCGAGGGTTCGAATCCCTCAGATGTCATATTTTTAATATCTTCATATATATTTTAGATTAGAAAAGTATAATTTTAAATAAATTATTTTATTATCAACTTATCATTTAAAATTCCTATAATAATAAGATTAAGAAATTTTAAAATAAATTATTTTATTATCAACTTATCATTTAAAATTCCTATAATAATAAGATTAAGAAATTTTAAATACTTTTTTTTATTCTCAACTATTCATTTAAAATTCCTATAATAATTAACTTAAGAAATTTTAAGAAATAAATCTTAAAATAAATTATTTTTAAAAAAACAAATGAATTTTTCATTATAATTTTCTTCTAAGACTCAAAACACTTTGAACTGTTAAATAATCTTAGTTATAAAACAATTTAATATTAAAATTTCATTCTATCCCTCCCTAATTTAAATTTTTCAAAGATTAAAATGAAATAATTTATATCCACCAATAATTTATATCCCTCAATAATTTATATCCACCAATAATTTAATTCCCCCCCCATTTTAATACAAAAAAATTATTTTAAATTTTCTTATCTTCAAATCACAAGAAGGGTTAAAAACAATGAAAACACCCCGTTCACGCATAACATTTAAAACACCAAAAAAAAGAAATATAAAGACACCTCTATCACTCAAACAGAGTAGAGAGAGTAAGGAGAGTAGAGATAATAAGGAGGTGAGAGAGAGTAGAGAGAGTAGAGATACTTCTCTGTCTCTAAAACATAAGGACAATCACACTATACCTACAGAAAATAAAAAATTAGATTCTTCTATAATTTCTACAGAAAATACTTTATCTTCTCTTTTAGAGTCGTACAGAGAAGAAAATAAATTTTTAAGAAATTTAAAAAACGATTCTTTAATTTTTCAGAGACTGGTTGGTCTTTCTATTAAAGAGGTAGAAGGTAAGTATGAGTGTACACATACTGTTACTGTTAAAGGAGTAACACGTTATATTGTATTTTTACTTATTCCTGATACTTCTTCTTATGTTTATAAACCTGTAAGTTCTTGTAATGTTAGTTTGCCTGAGTATTTGAGTGATAGTATTTGTTTTACTGAAGAACACATACAGATGTTCTTTTTTAAGGTTATGGAGGCTTTAATGTGTTAGTAGGGTGAGGTAGTGTATGGTAAAGGGGTGTTAGGGATGTATTAGAGGATATGTTAGAGAAGGGTGTTAGTTATAAAGAGTAATGAACTGTAAGGTAAAGGGGTGTTAGTTATAAGGAGTAATGGTATAATAGTTAAAGGGGTGTTACTTATAAAGAGTAATATAGAGGGTGTTACTTATAAGGAGTAATGGTATAATAGTTAAAGGGGTGTTACTTATAAGGAGTAATAGTATTGTAGTTAAAGGGGTGTTAGTTATAAAGAGTAATATAGAGGGTGTTAGTTATAAAGAGGAATAGTTTTGTAGTTAAAGGGGTGTTAGTTATAAGGAGTAAAGGTATTGTAAGGTAAAGGGGTGTTACTTATAAGGAGTAATATAGATAGGGTTATATATAGTAGTGATACTTATGTATAGTAAGTAATACAGAAGGTGTTAATAATAAAGGTTATATTATAAAGGTTATATTTTAAAGGTTATATAGAGGGTGTTATATTATAGTAAATATATACTAGAGATAAAGGGGTGTTAATAATAAAGGTTATATTTTAAAGGTTATATAGAGGGTGTTATATTATAGTAAATATATACTAGAGATAAAGGGGTGTTAATAATAAAGGTTATATTATACTTTTATTTTTGTAAAATATTTTTAAAAAAAAAAAAATTTTAAATTTTTTAACTATAATAGTACTTTACTAATGACCAAAACCAATATTTATTTATATTTTACCTACAACTAACACCTATATGTAATAATAATACTTTACTTATAACTAACACCTATATGTATTAATAATACTTTACTTATTACTAAGACCTATAACTAATAATACTTTACTTATTACTAACACCCTTTAAACACCTTATAATATATACTTATACTAACATCCCTTTAAACACCTTATAATATATACTTATTGATAACACCCTTTATACTTCTATTACTCTGTAATTATCAATAACACCCTTTATACTACTATAACTCCTATATAACACACCATTAACAAATCTTCTACCAATTACTCCTAAATAACACCCCTCTATCCATTTACCATACAAATATCTAAAATTTTTGTTTCTTATCGAAGAATAAATAATTTTTCTATTTTCTTATCTTTGTTCCAAGAATACCTGTAAATACACGTTGTTTCATTTAAAATATTCTAATTGTTCAAATCTCTTTCCATTTTAAGAAAAGTAATACAAAAAAAACGTTTCAAAATAAAAAAAAACCTTAAATAAAAAGAAAACAACCTCTTTTTAAAACATGCTATTCTTATTACTGTGCACTGTATACACATTTCCAGCCTATATAAAGATGTACGGCACTGACAAGTATATAGGAAGTCTTGGACGAACAGTACCTAAACTTGTAAACAAAATGGATGCCGATTTCTATGAAATAGACCGTGTAGGCAACTCACTTCTTGAAGTGACATTGGAAGCAGTAGAACTTGACAAGGTGTTTGATATAGAAGGTAACAACAAGAGACTTATATATTATCCGTTACACGGATACAACAACCAGCAGTTTCAACTCTTCTTGGATTATTCTGGTGCATACCGAATCATGAGTAATGGTCTATGTATGGAATATAATGAGTTAGAACTTGCTTTTATGAGAGAAACATGTCGTAATGACCGTAATCAGTTGTTTGATATAGAAACACCAGCAGAGTACTATGATTCTGATAGTCGTAATTCTCATTTTGGTAAACCCTTCTTTGCACCACCTACACCCGTTGAAAGACTATTGAATGAGTATGGAAAGTATAATCCGTTTAGAAGATTAGGATAATTAAATAAAAAGGTAAATTAACTATATTTTAATAATTTATATTTTGTAATATTTTTAAATAAACCAATACATTATTTAGTCTCAAAGAGTATTTATATGTTAGTTAAACTTATAACAAAGTAAAGTATTTTATTTATAATTTGGTACAAACTGATAACAGAAGTAAAGTGGTTTATTTAAATTTTAGTATAAACAGTGTTAAGAAGTAAAATGTTTTATTTAAATTTTAGTACAAACTGATAACAGAGGTAAAGTATTTTATTCAAATTTTAGTACAAATTGATAACAGAAGTAAAGTATTTATACATCAATAAGATAATCTACAAATATAAGTTAAACTGTAAAAATAAAATTTATATCAAATTAGACATAACTTGTATATAAATTTATATTCATAGGACTTACTTTATAATTGTAATAATTTATTTTTTTAATTTAATCTTTAATTGAAATAAACAATTTTATAAATATTTTTCTTCAGTATATATTTACATATCTATCGCATAACACATAAATTATTACATTATCCTAAATATCTTGTAATAAATAGTGATATAACTATAAATTATCTTTATTTCATCTTTAATTTCATCTTTAATACATCTTTAACTAATATTTTATGAATTATTTATATTTTTCTTATCAAATATCTTTAATATTCTATCAAATATTATTTTAGTTTGAGTCTTCCTATTTACATATTTTATTAACGTTATATATCCTTTATAATATATCTTATTAAATATTAGATAAATTAAAAATACATATAAGTTAATAATACTGTATTGTAAAGAGAATATATAGAATACATAATCAAATAAGACTATAAAACAAGAGTATCAAAGCAGTAAATACTATCAAATAATACTTTAGAATACTATTCGAATACTATTAGAATATTAGAATATTAGAATATTAGAATACTAGAATATTATAAAGATAAAGATAATTTAAACAATACATACTAAGATACTAGTTAGATACAGATTGAGATAATGTGATTAATATAATGTTTATTAACTGATTCCAAGTAATACTTATACCCAATACATATTTAAATACGTCTGTAACAAAAGTAAGATGAATGAAACACTACATCAGCAACGAATAAGTAAATATTTTAACAAATTGAAACGTATTAGAAACAAAACAGTAAGAATTTTTAAGTGAATAAGCAATCAAATATGAAACTGTATGTATTAAACAAAATATAAATATTGTAGCGGTTTATACATTGTGGTCAGATAAGAGTAAAAGAGTATCTCCTATGACCACGGGGAATACCTTTTGGCGGAGGTAGGGATTGTAATAGAAGGGAGTGTTTTTTCTTGTGTAATGGCTTTTTAGGGAATAAGGCGGAAAAAGGGAAGTGTAAGCCACTATAATTTTTAAGTAAAGTAATGTCGTACATCAATTCTTTTTATAGTAGATTTAGTAGTTCTTATTATTGTTCTTATTCTTATTATAATTCTTAATATTATAGATATTATCGTTTTTATAGTTTTTATAGTTTTTTAGAATAATATTCTCAATTATTCTTTTCAGTTATATTTAGCTTATCTTTCTATGTACATTTAATAAATAAAACATTTGTAAGACAAATATAATAATCTATAAGAATATATGAAAATAACAGACAATTAAAAAGAAAATAAAGAACAGTAGATCAAACACTCGCAAAACAATATAAAAACAATTAAAACAATATAAAGAATAAAGAATATAGGAAATCAAGAATATAAAGAATATAAGACATAAAGACATAAAGGATATAAGAATATAAGAATATAAGACATAAAGAATATAAGGATATAAGAATTAAAAACATTTTATTATTTCTTGCTAAAAGATTGAAAAAGTTCGGATTTAAAAGGTGAAGAACTATAATTATTATCTTTAATATCTTTCCATTCTTCTTCTAAAATAGAATCTTCTTTCTTTTCCGATTCTAAATACTTTTTTAATTTTGTTTGTTCTTTAGTTTGTAATACTTTTTGTTTTATAAATCTTTTTTTCATTCTACGTTTTTTTTTAATGGGATTTTTTTTCTTTTTCCTTGGTAATACTTTCTTTTATAAGAAATTTAATTTTATTAC